ATAAATTATACCTTCAAAAAATGAAAGAAAAAAAAGGTGTAGGGAAAAATTAAATTACCTATTAAAGCAAAAAAAAAAAAAAAAAGTGCATGTCTTTTAAAACAGTATTTTTGCTTTCCCAACTTCAAACCTACCTACATTTCCCAACCTTGGTTTGCCAACCACAGATGAAAAATAACTGTTTTTGATTCACAGTTGGTTGAATCTGTGGATGAGAAAACTGTGGATATGAGGGGCCAATTGTAGAGTAAAAAATTATAATGGCTCTAGCCCAAGCATGTCAAACTCGTGGCCCCAAAATAACTGTTTGATTCACAGTTGGTTGAATCTGTGGATGAGAAAACTGTGGATATGAGGGGCCAATTGTAGAGTAAAAAATTATAATGGCTCTAGCCCAAGCACGTCAAACTCGTGGCCCCAGGCCCGCATGCAGCCCACAACGAATATTCATTAACGATTACTCATTATTTCAGCTCTTAGTATTCAGCATGTCTCTATTGAAATAAACCTACAGTTCTATGAAAACTAAAGCTTTTGTTTTATTGCGGCCCACATAAACTTAAACCTTATTTGGCCCATGTTAGCCTTTGAGTTTGACATGCTTGCTCTAGCCTGTGTTGCTCACTGATTAGAGCACTGGCCTGTGTATCAAAGGGTCTTGGGTTCGATTCTCGGTCAAGGGCATGTACTTGGGTTGCAGGTTTGATCCTGAGCCCCAGTCGGGGGTTCGTTCATGAGGCAACCAATCAATGTGTCTCTCTCACATCAATGTTTCTCTCTCTTCCTCTCCCTCTCTACTCTCGCTAAAAATAAATGGAAAAAAATATCCTCAGGTGAGGATTAATCCCCCCAAAAAATTATAATGGATTTTTGACTGTGTAAGGATCAGCACCCTTAACCCCCAAGTTTTTCAAGGGTCACCTGTACTTGATTTTAAGAAACATTAAAGTAATCTTGAGGTAAAAGATCACATAAAAGTTGACCAAATACTTATATATGGCCTCCTTGCTTTCTCTAAAGTCATAATTTTGTCTGGTTTGTATGAGATACATTAAAGAGAAAATCAAAAGTAGAAAATAAATCATAGCAATTTTTATGTACTATAAAAACAGTAGAACTTAAAGTTATGTATTTCAACCACATACCTTGATGAGAGTCCTACAGACCCAGAAAAATGAGGAGATTCTGTTTTCCTACCACACGTCCTCTTCCCAATAACACCCTTTCCAATTCAGAAAGGCTGGGGTGAGCCTGTATTACATGTGGAACTAGCAATACTATTCCATCTATCGGAGATCTTACTCACTTCTACTTACCTACACAACTTGTTAGCAGCCTTTTTCTTAATCTGGACTTTATACCAGCAAGATGGGGCTTTTAACTTACCAAAAGAACTAGGAATCTCTTCTCAAAAGAAAAACAATTTAAGGGCAAAAAGAGGCTCTGGCAATCACCTTTCTGATCCAGTGTAACCTCACTCTCAAAAATAACCCTGTCTTCTCACTGACAAAAGATTGGCTAAAATCCTTACATCAAGGATTCCCTCAACTTCCTGGTTTTGCTCTGGTTTTACCTCTCTTAACTCTCAATTCTGTTTCTCGGGAATAAGCACCTCTACTATCTCCCAGCCCAACAGTTCTCAAACATTTTAGTTTTAGGATCCCTTTACATTCTAAAAAATTACTGAGGAGTCCAAGGAGCCTTTGTTTATGTGAGCTATAACCTATCAATATTTACTGTATTAGAAATGAAACTGAGAAATTTTTTATTTAAATTAAATAATTTAAAAATAAGATTAGCCCTAGCTGGTTTGGCTCAGTGGATAGAGTGTCAGCCTGAGGACTGAAGGGTCCCAGGTTCGATTCTGGTCAAGGGCACATGCATGGGTTGCAGACTCGATCCCCAGTGGGGGGCATGCAGGAGGCAACCAATCAATGATCTCTCTCATCATTGATGTTTCTACCTCTCCCTCTCCCTTCCTCTCTGAAATCAATAAAAATATATTTAAAAAAAATAAGGTTAAACAATATCAGTAACATTTTATGGAAAAACTATTTTTAAAAAGAGTGAGAAGGGTGATATTGTTTTAAATTTTTACAAAACTCTTAAAGGTCATGTTTGATAAAAGCTGGCTCAATCTCATATCTGTTTCTGCAGTCTGGTATCAGTCATAGTCCCATATCCATGCAGCCCCTGAAAACCCCATTGTACACTCTTGAGACCATGAAAGTAAAAGGGCAAAGAATGTCTTAGTATTGCTTTAAAAATATTTTTCTCCTAACATTGAATGGGTGTCAGGAAGCCGCCTCCCCAGAGCCTTCCCACAGCCCTTCGAGTACCACTGCTCTAGTCTAGTCATCTTCTAGACGTAGTCCTACGTCTGGTTTCAGCAAATACCAACTCTCTAATTTGGACTCCAGTGTCACTGTTTCTTGGTTCCCTTACCACCACCACCACCATCACTTATATTGTCTTCCTTAACCTAAAAACAGAAATGAAACAAAACAAAACTTCCTACTTAAGCTCTCTCTTCCTTCTAAGTCACCAAACTTCTTGAAAAAGTTCCCACTTGCTCTACTGCCCCTCCTTTTTATTACTGTAATTACTAAAGTATATACAGAGACAGTGTAATTTTTTTCTTTTTTCTTTATTTACTAGAGGCCTGTTGCAGGAAGATTCCTGCAAGAATAGGGCTTCCTGAGGCCGAAGTGAAGCAGAGATGGCTGCCTCGCTCCCTCCCGTCTCCGCCGCCTCGGCTCCCTCCCTTCTCCGCCACTTCGCTCCCTCCCGTCTCTGCTGCCTCGCTCCCTCCCATGTCTGCTGCCTCGCTCCCTCCCGTGTCCCCTGCCTCAGCTCCACTCCCGTCTCTGCTGCCTTAGCTCCATTCCCTTCTCCGCCGCTTTGCTCCCTTCTGCAACGCTTGGCTTCCTTCTACGCTCCGCGCCTGTGTATGCAAATTAACCGCCATCTTTGTTGGGTTAATTTGCATATCACTCTGATTGGCTGGTGGGCATAGCGGAGGGACAGTCAATTTGCATGTTTCTCTTTTATTAGTGTAGATTGTTGACAGTATTACAGATGTCTCCCATTTTCCTCCCTTTTGCCCCCATCCACTTAGCCTCCGCCCCACCCCTGGCCTTCCCCATACTACTGTCTATGTCCATAGACTATGCATATATGCATATATGTTCTTTGGTTAATCTCTTCCCGCCCCCCTCCCCTCTCTTCCCCTCTGAGATCTGTCATTCTGTTCCATGTATCCATGACTATGGACCTATTTTGTTCATTCATTTACTTTAATAGATTCCACATATAAGTGAGATCAGTCTCATTTTTTTTTTAATCCAAGCAATATAGGTAAATCACCATCCAAAATCCCAATCTCCTCAAAGGTAACCACCACTGTTTACCCTTAAAAAAATACCCCGAACCAATTTTGTAAACTGAATTATCAGATTGAAATTTTTATTTGCTTGTGATTTTTCTTCTTTAAGTAGTTATAATATTTTTAAAAACCTGGAAGAAAGTTCTGTTTAGATTCCAATTCTTTTGGTTACCGGAGTAAGTTTTAGATCAAAGGATAAGGGTTAGGAGATAATTAGGAGATAAAATGAAATGATAATCCTATACAAAGCAAGTACTAAACAATACGTTAAAAGTTGATTTTATGGCTTGCATTGCCATAAGACAGAATAATAAGATTTATGACTCTGCCTTGTATGTAAAACCCTCACATTTCATTACCTAAATACAGATAAATGCTGACTATATTTGTGTCATCTGGCTAAATATAATAGTGTCTTTGGGGTTTACAAAACATTTTCACATATATTGCCTCTTTAAAATTTCACAACCCGTGAGGTTAACAGGGACTATCATTAACATATTATAGATACGAAAGCAAAAGTTCTAAGAAAAAAATTACTTGCTCAAAATTACATAGCTAGAAAGACACACACCAGAAACCATAGACAGAACTTATATCTTTTGGCTCAAATCAAATCCCTCTCCTTTATATCATATTGAACAGTACATCAAAAATCCTTGCAACATAAAAATTTTAAGTTCTTGCCTATTTTTATAGCTAATTTAGAAAAAATTATCTCTACTTTCAAAGTTGAAAAGAAAATACAAAAAATGAATTGTATAACTTTTAAATACAAAAAATAGTAAATTATTTTTGCTCCCTTATCATACAATATAATCCCTTAGGAACCTTGCATTTTAAAGTAACAGTTAAAATTTACTAACACGTGCTTTAACATGTAGATGTATTATAAGTTAGAAAAGTAGCTTCTTAAATCCTTACTGGTAAAATTAGGCACTGCTATAAACTCAAGACTTTAAGACTCCTCATGTAAGAATGATGCAACAGTTCCTGAAAGGAACACACACACACCCCTAACTCATGGAGGCTGCCCTCGTATTTCAGTGTTATCCTTGAAATTCCTGCAAGGAGCACCTGGAATCGTGGAAATTCCTTAAATTTCACAATTAGAATGTTAAATTATATTTAACACACACATATATAATTAAAAATCCTACTTATACAAGTAACAAAGCAATTAATCCATTATTAATCTTACAGAAACACTGTTTCCACATCCCTGTTTTTCCCTACACCAAGGCAGCTCCATAGGAGTCCAACACATTTAAATTATTCCTTTATTATGACACACAAAGATTGGATTATGAAAAAAAACACCACAAACTATTTCAAATTAAGGGCTCTTAATCTTAGCTAACTCAATTTCACAAATAACTCAAGAAAAAACTTAAACTATGATTAAGCTTATCTTTATATCACACCCTGACATTTTAAAACCATGGACAAGATCATTGAGTTCTTCACATTTTACTCTTCCTAAATGTAAAAGATATACCTGCTCTCAACACATTATTATCAGACCAAAACCCATAGTGACACTGTTAGTACTCAAAGCTAAATTATATAGGACTGCAAAACTGCTTTACTAAGAAATATTTGAGCATTCTCTTACCTCCGTTTCTGTACAATGTGAATATCCCAATTTACCTGTAATAAAAATACAAAAAATTACTTTCAGAGGATTTTAGCTTTTTTATCATTGATTAAAAAAATATTTCAGCTACTCTGGCCATGGCTTCATTATATTTATGAAACTATGCAAATAAAAGGTGCTAGAATCACCAAATATTTCAGAAGGTCTTACTTAGAGATTTAAGTTTACATAGGCCCATCAGAAAATAATAAAGAAAAAGATGGGAAGGATATGCTTACTTGTAATAAGATCTAAAGAACATACACATCTTTAATATGCATATGTACAAATTAATGAAAGTAAACCCAAAATAATTTTAAAGTCTTGCTTTCTTTCTAAAATATCTTAAAATACTTTTAAAGGGTACCTTTTAAAACACTTTTGAAATGCCTTTAAAAATTGAAATGCCTTTTAAAGTACTTTAAAAGACTCTTGGACTTTTACCTTAAAATACTTTTAAAAGGTACCTTTTAAAACACTTTTGAAATGCCTTTAAAAATTGAAATGCCTTTTAAAGTACTTTAAAAGACTCTTGGACTTTTACCTTAAAATACTTTTAAAAGGTACCTTTTAAAACACTTTTGAAATGCCTTTAAAAATTGAAATGCCTTTTAAAGTACTTTAAAAGACTCTTGGACTTTTCCCAAAATATATTTATTTTATTTTATTTTTTCCATCACCATTTAGTCCCTCTATACCCTCTTCCACTCTCACACCCCCAACCACAATCACCACACTGTCATCCATGTCCATTAGTTCTCTCACTTTTTTTCTTAATCCCTATAACCACTCCCTCAACACTCACCCTCTACCCCCACCCACAGAGCTGTCTGCCTGGCTCTCTATCTGAGTCTGGCTCTATATTGCTTGGTAGTTCACTTTGTTCATTAAATTCCACGTATGAGTGAAATCATATGGTACTTGTCTTTCTCTGACTGGCTTATTTCACTTAGCATAAACCAGTTTAAAGGTACAGTGATCATTTCAATGAAAGCATACATGTTTCAAACTCATATTTTCTTTAATATATCATGGTTGTTTTTCTTTAATATAAGATTAGGTAAAACCATATAATTAATCTAGTAATTCTTTCAATAGAAGGTAACCTAAAGAACAACTAGAATGAACCATATTTGGCTGCTCCAACATTAATATTTTCTCTTCATCACTGAGACAAACTATCAAAGAACATATACAAGCATATATTTCTGTCAATTTGGGTGACTAAAACATACTTTTAAAATAAAAAAGCTATTTTAAGAGAATAATTTATTAAATAGTTTTAACAGAAAGACTAGCTAACACATTTATATTGGGGCCTAAAATTTTTTATTTCCCCAGTCTACACTTCTCAAGTTCTATTAAGTTCAAATATACATTTAGCCCCACTTCCTTCTTTCCACCAACAGTAGCCTCCTTTTTACCTCTTCCCAGCCTACTACCCCTGCACCTAGCCCACAATGGTTGATCTATTAGCCTGTGATTTTTTAAATGCTTAACTAGAATTTATATACCTTAGAGTCTACGATGATTCCATAAAAAAAATCAGAAAATGTTTTTATATGCCTTCCAATTCATAAAATGAAAAATAAAGTTGAAACCCACAGTTTCTGATAAGCTAATGATCCTAATATGAAATGTTGGCTGAAATCAAAACCAGAAATAAAAGATATATAAGTCATAATTAAAGATTACATGAATAGATAAAATGAGTTCAATATATATGGGTTTATGTGGCAGGATTTGATATATAATTATATATATTTACTAGTGACCCAGCACGTGAAATCTCACGAGACCCAGACCAGCGGGAAATCGCACGAGACCCGGGACCCCAGACCCCGCCGCGCCGTGGGACTCCCCAGAGTCCCGCCGTGCCCCGAGACCCAGAGTCAAGTCTCCGCCCACCCGCACGTGCCTCGCTGCACATGCAGCCTCCTGGTGACCGGTCTTTTGTCATTACGGCATTAGGGCCCCTGGGTTTTTATAATATAGATCTACACTAATAAAAGAGAAACATGGTAATTAGCGTACAACCGCTACCCTTCCCATTGGCTAATCAGCATATCCTTATGCAAATTAACTGTCAGCCAAGATGGTGGCCGGCAGCCATGC